CTCTTTTTTTTTCTTTTTTTTTTTTTTTACGAGAATCAGATTTTCATTGCTTCATTCAATTGCTCTCCTCTGCCATTTTTTACAGCTCTTATCGTTCCCTTGGAATATGGCCTTGAGACAGCTCATCCGTGTCCTTCACTGTGTTATCTCTTCTAACTTTTATTAAAACTTCAGCTCTCATCTGAAGATAGCTAATTAAATCCATGACAGATTATATGCTCGTTTAAAAACTGCACTGAACTACTTTTTCTAAGAGAACAGGGTTTATTTTCTTTTCCCATAGTTAAAACTAAGGGTACATAAGGAGGTTTCATTCATTTACAAAGACAAGATCCTTATCTTTACCTACTATATAGAGGGGCTGTATTGAAGTCCCTTTGTTGTGTGACAAGACCTGGTGCAATTTCTCACAGTAATTATTTCTTGTTGCTGGAAAGATCTCTCAGCCTCATACTTTTGAAATACATATAACCAACACACATGTGTATGCACATCCACACCCTGGAAAAGCATAGCTCTAAAATACAAAATCAAGTACTGTACATTTTATTTTTTAAAATGTTGATGTGTCTTATCTCTAAAAGCACTGTTTTGGCAACGTTGCGGAATGTAAATTTTTCTTTTTCTCTACAGGTAACAACCAGTCCTTTAAATTATTTAAAACCACACTAAGCATCATTTTTGTTACATAAATTAAAAGCGTACAAATCCTGTCGAGGCCTGGTCTTACTGTACTTGCACCCATCACCTCAAACTACCGCTAGCTGGACTGGAATGCCAATAGCTTTGTTATCGTAAATAAATATTTGCAGTAATGGATGTGCGGCTCTGCAGCGACCATCACGCAGCCCCGCCGCTGCCTGCAGCCAGCACCAACCTGCGCACACAACAGCAGAAAATCACAACACCCACCGCAAAACGGAGCATCTTTCACAGCAGTTAAAGAGAGACATAAAATACACTCGTGGAAAAACACCCTACCCTCTAGAAAAGATGATAAAGAACCCACCTGAGCCTCTCTGGGATCCCTTCCTTCTCTTTAAGGCCTTTTGTAAGATATCCTTCATGGTGACCTTCATACTGTCCACCTGAATAAGGGAGAATCCATGAGCAGCATTTCTGCAAGACAGATGCACACGCATTTTTACAACACAATCATCAGCAGGCAGCTCGCTGCAATTTTCATTAGTGTCAAGCAAAGGGCTTGTTAGGCACAACAACTAACAAAGTTGTGCTAGAAAAGTAAGTTAAAAGGAGAAACTGAGCAAACTCCCTCAGAAAGGCAGAGACAAACAGGGAAAACGGATTGAGATTCAAGGTGTTCAGGATTTGCCTAATTTATCTTTATTTTTGATCAATTTGTGTTCATCATTAAAAGAAAAAAATGAGCAAAGGTACCTGCGGAGCTCCTCAACCCCTCGTTATCAAGGATCTTCTCGGCATTTCACAGTGCATACAGACAAACAGTTTGCAATGTCATTTCCACAGGCATCCCAATGGCAGATGCAAGGGATCATTACGAAGAAGGGGAAGAACAACAGCGCAGAGAAGTAACAGCAGTGTGTCAGCACCAGTCGTGCACAGCGTTATTTCAAACGTACGTAACGTGCTTTCTTTGGACACATTTTTGTGACCATACGGCACTAAACCTCAAGGAAAGGGGCACTTGTGCTGGCCACTGCCCGCTGGAGAGCCCACACTGCAAAAGGCCTGGGCATGGGGACAGGAGGGACCACCAGCCCACATCTGGCAAAGTGGCGTTGCCGGGACGATGACAAGGGAATAGCAGAGGTGCTGGATTAATGTATAACGGAGATGCTGGATTAATGTACGGCGAGCTGTGCCCTCGGAGCCCGCAGTCAATCTCCACTCGTGTCAGTAGATGTCACTGCAGTTAGCACAGGAATCAGAGCTGGCCCCAGGGACAGATTTGACTGCGTGGAAAGAACCAGTGTGCAGAGCAGTGTGGACAGGAGGAGGAGCCTGGGAGCTGGAGACCAGGGACTGCAACCAGGGAGCAGAGCCCTGTAGGAGGATCACAGCGGGAACGTTTTTAAAAGCAACTGGCAGTCAGGAGCAATGCAGGCAACACAATGACATCCCCAAAGCCACGCGTGTGGCATGGCATGGGGACACAAACGCTGGGAATGCAAGGGGAGCCCGGATCACTTCAGAGGTGAATCCCAGTCCAGGCTGGGACAGCCCGGAGGAACTGAGGACATCTCCAAGCCCTGCCATACCTGAACACCCACCCTGACCACCAGCCTGCAGCCCTGCGGCTCCCTCGTACTCTCCTGTGGCCTCCAGAACAGAGCACCGGCCCCTTTCACCCTGCTCACTGCTGCCCGGTTCACCCCAGCTCAGCTTCGCAGCTCAGCATCATCTGCCTGGGGTGGCTGGAAGAGGCTGGAGATGGGCAAGAAACCCACCACGGGCGGGCATTCAGGCGGCACACAATAAAATGCCTGCCGCGCTGCAGGTAACACATCAGATGTGTTCAGAGCAGCCCCCGGCTCCTCGGGCAGCTCCTCCGCACACGCAGCCCCACAGGTCACTGGTATGAACTGGCATTTCCTTCCCATCTGTTGTGAGCTCGTCTCATCTGAGTTTTGTTCTCAATTCCCTTTGTTCCCAGCAAAATGGAACTGCCTAAAAGCTCCAAATTTATGTTCTCTAGACCATTTATTATTTATAACTCTATCTTACTTGTCTTCAAACCAAATATTCCCAACCTTTTCATGCACCTATTTTTTCCCTCCTTCTGGCGGGAAGCGTCACCCATGTCCACATCCATGTCCCTGGTCCTTCACCTCGCTTCCCAGCAACGTCACAGCTCCGCTACAAACCAACCTGAGCTAAATCTAGTGGACTTCTTAAAGTGAAAAACCTCTCATACAATGACGCTTCAAAAGGGAAACTGCCTTTGCGCTGTTATTTAGATGACACGATGTTTGTCAATGAAGCACTACAAGAAAAGCCTCACATACTGGACTCAACCACCAGAGCACCGATTCAAAAGACATCTGGTGCCTTCAGGTACTTCAGTTAATGCTCTGCAATACACAGAGGAGGCTGCCCGAGAACTGCAACCAAAATGCAGGAAAATAAATTAAAATTTTGCAGGGAAAAACAAACTGGCAAAGGTGAAGCCAGTCTCCCAAAACCTTCTATGGCCAAAACTACTGCAGTCACAATTTTATTAGTTTTCCTTCAAGGCCTGCAGCCCCCACCATGGACCAGCCCCGCTCCCCGCTGGGCGCAAAGCGAAGGACGGGAATGGCCGACCCGGGGCCGCTCACACAGCGCCTGTCTGCAACCTCCCGAAAAGGGAAGATTTTCGACTCCTGACCCTCACACGCTGCCGTGGGCCCCACTCGTGAATCAGGTCATCCCGACCCGGTCGGTCCTTCCTCCCGCCAGGCCGATCTCCCTGACACTCCATCACTAACCTGGGCCGTGGCCATTCCTTGCCTCAGAGCTGGATCTGATCCCAGAACAATCTCTGAAAGTTTATTTAACTGATCAAAGCAAAACAAGAAAAAACACTCTGCTTTACTATATTTAGTGTGCTATCCAGCCAGTGAGACTTTGGCAAGAGCAGTGAAACGTGAAGCGCACCCCACATTTGTAAACCTTGGGGTATTTGCTCTGGAGCAGAGCCAGCGGGTCCCACACACCCGGCTCTCCCCGTCCTCTGCTCACCAAGCATGCAGTGCTCTTCCTCTCTAACAATTCACTGCAGAACCTCAATAACAACATTTTAACACTCAGTAAACCCACAAATCTGAGCCAAGAGCGGATTTAAGCCCAGACCAAAGAGATCCTGCGTCATCCCTGGCTGTCAGAGCGCGAGGGGGAGAAGCTCCGCAGGAGCCCTGAGCCACCCTCCGCACCCCATCGCCCAAAACACGGTCAACCCCCGTGACCGCCCCTGTGTGACAACAGCACCACGGGGCTCCTCGGGCAGAAGCACGCACCCCAGCGCACCGATGTACACCCCACATGGACCATGTGCGGGAACTTTCCTTGCTCAACCTAACCGCGGCACATCCTTCATTGCGACTACAAACTCCAGGTTTTAGGTGACTCTGCTAACATGCAGTACCTTTATTTTTTGTCAGCCCACCAGAAAACAGGACAGAGGAGCAGATGCTACTCAACCAATTAAAACTGGAAGCCAAAAAAATTCCTTAGCTGGTATTTTCTGTCATTTTGCAAAACATACCTGGGTGACAAGGTTAAATCAAGCAAAGGAAATCCCTGGCACTTATCATCCACAGACATTACTGATAAATTGTGCAGCGGAGGAATAAAGGATTACCTTCTGTATTTTTTCATTACACTTTTCTTTTGTTACAGAATACATAAATCCATTGTGGCACAATGTAATATGTATCATCGTGCTACACCTGTGGACGTTTCATAACGGCTGCCATGTCTGTGCAGTCAGGAATGATAAGTGAACCACCCGTGAATGTTAATGATAGTGATCATTCTGCAGTAACTTGGCTTTCCATCTTCTTTTACAGCCTCCGCACTGGAGCCAGGGTGGCAAGGTTCAGAGGAGGAGAGAGAAAACAACAGCAAGCGAGGGCTGCAGCGCCGATGCCGGGGAAGCTGCTCCAGGCGCAGGAAACGGCACCGTCCTCTCCACGGGCGCCGTTTGTGCGACAGAATGAAAATACAGCTCTGAAAGGACAAAAGGCTTCTGTTCTGAACGGGAAACAAAGTTTCTCAAAAGCTGCCTTGCCAATCTGGAGCAATTCATTTTAATTCCGAGGGGTTTTTTAACGCTGAAGTGGAATTTATAACACTTGGAGTCCGATGCAAAAAATGGTTGGCGTGGTTGGAAGTGCCTGTGAATGACTAATAACCATTTCCACTTGATCAGCACAAAGTCAAAGCTAAGGCTAAAAATCCCAGTTGACGCAATGTACTTAACTTAAGCTGGGTAATTTCTGAGATAAAGTGCACAGTGATGTGAACCAGAATTACTGTGCCAGCCACGGTTTTATTCTGAGCCTAAATGCTGCTGCTTTTGTGCATCTCGGGTCAGCCCTGGGTAACGCTGCGAGCTCTTGGGTTTAATTTGCCGTATTTTGACACCACTGCGAACCACCAGGAGACATCGAACGCGTCAGCTCCTGCTCCAACACCTTTCGCCCTGGGAGCCACCTCTGAACACTGGCACCTACACTGACTTCCTTAACTTGCACTTGATAAGCATCCCAAACTATACATTGTAGATTACCTACACCAACGGAAAAACCAAAACCAGGCCTTTTGGGGAGGGCTTCTGTAATCCAAGTAAAAAATCACATTTCAAAGCTCTGAATTGAACTTGTAAATGTATGATGAAAGCCTGATGCTTTTAAAATGTTTCAAACCATAATCAGGTACAGCAGAGGTGCTGCTTTGAAAAATACATACATGACAGTCAAAGCAATTTAGACAGAATATCAACAGAGAAAAAAGCGCTAGAGAGCAGAGGACCGCGTGCCAAATCTCATCTGTGTGCCAATTGGCAGCTGAGCTACAACTCCTAGAAACACCATTAGATCGAGCACGTCAAGTTGTGATCATAACATTTGCAAGGGAAAAAGTCCTAACGATAGCACAGATTTATTTTAAGCCACCTTCGCTCCGAGGCTTTCAGGTATCACTCCATCATCTCACAAAGTCCACATTTCCATGGACGCGGCGCTTTGTTTGACTCCTCCTGACAAATCATAGGCGCCATCAAAGCAGGCTGCTGGCTCTGACATTGGACAAGTCCTGCTTTCCACAGCAGAAGTCTTCCAAAAACACAGCTCGCTAGACTAATGGGCAGCAAGGAGCCAGAGCGCCTGCCCTCCGTCTTCTCCTTGGGTAACTTTGCCAGAGTCCTTGGAACTTGCCAAATTCGGTCATGCCTGCTTAGCCCGCTCGACTGATTGTGCCAGAAAGGGAAATAAGACACAGATGTATTTGAGCTCTTTGAGATGCCAGTAAGAGCGACAGCTAATGGCTTCATTTCGACCCTCCCCTACCAGCTGGGCACAGGTGGGGGGATAATGAGGTCCCTCTCCCTAATCAAACTCAATTATTTACTACTCTGTATGGCCACAAAGACATTCACACTCAGCTCAGAATATAAAACGCGCTGTGGGCTGCTCCCCGCCACTGCCGCTGGGTATTTATGAGGAACTCGAGTGCTCCGAGTTTGCCTTGGCAGGATTTGAGTGCGTGAAGTTCTGCAGACAACGTGTTCTGCAGGAGCAGGGTCCCCGGCATGGCTCCGTAACTGCACCGCATCCAAAAATACAGCCCCTGCGCAGGGGTGGGACCCGAAATGAAACACTCGCTCCCTCACTGAGCTCCTCAAAGCATCAACTGTGTCCAACAGTGACTCAGTATTAATAAACATTACCAGTCACAAGCCTGACACAGCAGCAGCTGAAATACTTCAGCATGAGGAGATAAAAAAAAAAGATGCAAATTATAAAAACACAATTACATGCACTGGTAGGACGACAGGCGAGGAAGAAGATGTAGAATTTACAACAAATCCCTACAAAAATAAGACAGCACACTCATTTAAACCCACAGGAGTAACAGTCTCTTACTCAAGGGATGATCAAGTCATTCTCTCTTCTAGGGGACACATTAAAAATTCTAATTTAAATCTAACCATCTACAAATAACTATTTTCACAGGAAGTACAAGCAACTTCAGATTAACATGCGCACACAGAAAAAGATAAAAAAATCTCTCAGAAAAGCACTGCTCATGATGTAGTTACCCTACTTCTAACCAGCAGGACCTCCCAGGTTAGAAGAAGGTCCTCACGTCAGCACAAACCACGGTAAAGCAAAGGATTTTGCATTTCTTTTGCAGGATTTGCAGCTGGACCTTAACTCCTCTACAAGCACCAGTCAGAACTGGCCAGGCCAGGATGCTGCTGGGGGGTCCAGGCTCCACACCACTGCTACCTCCCCTGAGCTAAGGGCCAAAATCTGAGATCTCCTGAGTTCATTGCATTTAAACACCAATCCCAGTTCTTGTAGCGAGTGCAGGCAGCAGGGATCTAGGTAGGAGGCAGCTGAGGAAGAAAGGGGAGTTTTTCCAGATGAAAAATCATCAACTTGTAGTGATACAGGCGTCTTAACTGGTCTGCCTGCAATAAGCACTTGTGGGCCTTTTTGACTGCATGGAATCAGAACAGAACTTTCTATATACCCACTGGGAATTTTCTGGAGATATCCAAAATGCAGGATTATCTTCAAGATAAAACAATCATAGAATCATAAAATTAAAAAAGCCAAATTCACGGCAACAGCACTGACTCTAGAGAAGTGCACACAGGTGAAAGACACACTCCCTCGTTCAGATAAAACATGCAGCATTCGTCAGGGTTTTCTCCATCCAGATGAAGACAAGCAAAGCAAACAGCTGGGGAGGTGGCAGCAACACGGTTCTGAGGTGCAGTGGGCAGCAGGCGCCCATACTCACATGCGGACAAAGAGCGACTGCTTGGCGGCCAGCCCCGGGGACGAGTACTTCTCCACCAGCGCCAGCGTGCTGAACCCAAACTTGTGGATGGGCTCGTTGGAGTCCAGCGGGGGGAAGTCTGTGTCTACCTCCCCGTCGTCCTCGGCGATGTGCAGGCAGTAGGCGCTGACGTTGTCGCTGCAACACAGACAAACCACGCCGAGTCAGCAGGGACTCACACAACTGAGCCCAGCGGTGCTGGCTGCTGAATGCGGTACAAAACGCAGCAGCAGACAGGGGGAATACACCTAAAATCCACTGCTGGCACGGAGAGAAACACAGCCCAGAGTCCCAACAGATCCCGAAACCTCCGAGTAAATTCTTACTTCATCGTTAGCTGAACTGCAAGCAAAACACTGACAGTGATTAGAATATACAGAGGTCTGTAAGAGTTTCATGACTTCATAAAGCTGAAAGTAATAATTTTCCATTGGTGAAAATTTATTTACTTATGACCATCACATTTCAGAATTAAAGACAAACAAGCAGTGTCTGTCTATTCTTTATAGATCAAGCAGCTGTGAAAAAGTTTACTGAGTGTAGGCTTGGCAAGCAGTGAATGCGCTCGGGCAGGTAAATGGTGCAATACATGACAGGAAAAGTTAAAGATCTGTTCAATGCAGTAGTGGTGATGAGTGGAAAAGCCACCTTTTCTAAATATCTAAGAAGTCCATTCGCTACAAGCACTCAAAAGCTAGTATAGACCAACAAGCAGAACCAAGTAACACAGAAAGTTTGAAACAGCTACGGTGTGAAGAAAATACCAGAGAAAAATCTAAGCCTCTTTCTTTCCACACAGGGAAATAACGATCTATGTATACCACAGCGTTAATCGTATTTTCCTCACATTAAAATATATTTCAAATGTTACTATTTAAATGTTGTACTCCTTGTTGTAAATCTGTCAGCGTTCAGGCGTTCTCAAGAGCCATGAAGTAGAGCTCGAATGTTCACGTGGCAGGGTGTTTCTAAACTCTGCAGTTTGAATTTTGAGTTTTAATTGCATGATTGATGCTTAAATTAATTAATTGGAAAGTGTATGCTAATTGTTTAATTGGTCGCTTGATCTATATAGATCATTTTTTGAATTAAATGAGTTGATTTACAAAGTTTATTGATTGGATGTGACAATGAATTATTTCGCTGACTACCTGATTTGCAATTTTCTCAATTAATTCACAAACCTTTGGTCGCAACTGTGCTTTACTGAGAGTGTTCAGTCCAGGTGATCTATATGCACCTTGTCACAACTAAGACATTTAGTACATAAAACAGGTAATAACAATGCATTATCACTAACGTAAGCTGTACACTTCCTAACAAAAAGGTATGACAAAACAGCAATGTTTGTCACTGAGAATTTTGAAAATTCTGCAACACTGTTAAACTTTCATGAGTCTCTGGACTGAGATGAGGAATGGGAACATTGCTACAGAGTTAATTTTCAACTTCTTCAAAAGCACTTGGAGAACTCGGATGGAAACTGGTGCAAGGCAGCGATGGGAGGAAAACATCTGCGGCACTGGGGTTGCGTGGGTGCGCTGGTGCCAGCCTAAGAGGAGAAGCTGAACAAAAAGAAAGTGAATCTCGGGCAGAGCTGACCTTGCCGGCATCACAAGAGCTGCCCGGGCATTGCTGGGTCCTTCTCCTACCGCACTGAGAGCTCAAACCCCGATCTCCGCCTGCCCACTCTGCCCAGTTCAATGGACTCCAAAGCCACTGGGAGTGGTGCTGTGAGCACTACAAGCTCTGTACAGATAAAGATAACGCTTTCATTTGGTACTGGATGCATCTGCCTAATTTGCATTAAAGCCAGAGGAAGGTGCAGACACACAGGCAACAGAGCACGTTCAGTGCCATCTCAAAGTGATCCAAGTGCCAAAAAAAGGGTGCGACAACAACTTCTCTTCCCCCAGTCACACTGGAAACACATGACGTCTGTTAAATCCCCTAAACTGAAGGGGTTACAAACATGTTTGAACATGGAGAGGTTCCTGAACATTAACACAAAAGTCACAATCTGCAGAAAAAACAGGTCCAGTGGGTGAAACTGTTGTGTTGTTTTGAAACCCCACCAGGATGAGATCAAAGGCCTGGCTTCACATTACAAGGTTCAAAGTCCTGAGAACCTGGGTTTGCTATGGACAGAGAATGTAGAAGTTCAGGACAGCAACCGACAGATGCAATAGCATTCTTCTAAAAATAGGAAGTTCATTTGAGTTTTGCACCTCAGTGCTATTTATTCCTAGAAAGGGATTCTGTTTGTTTTTTGCAGGGGTTATCGTTACAGCACATCTGTTAGGGGCTGGCAAGAGGACGGTCCACTGGGTATGCCCAAAGTTCATGGGGAAAGGCCAGGACCCGGGCTGCTGATGCTGCTATGGCTCCTACATCAAGACACTGAATAGAGACAATACAATGCAACTGTAAAAAAAAGGCAGCCTAACTGAATACGAAATGTTCTCAAAGCTGTCAACCAGCACTCACTCACTGCAGACTCCTACATCTACCTTTTGGGAAAAAGAATGAGGCAGTAATACGTTCTTTTCCTAAAGACAGAAGGGTTGTTTCTCTTGATTGCAAAGTCTACAACCTCCTCATTATTCTCAGATCGTGTTACTAGCAGGGATATTTGTCATTCTGCATGCATTGCATATCAGATCTGAAGCGTTCTCTATAGGTATTTTAGTGCAGTGTCACAACGATCCAGATTCTGTCTTTTTATACTCTGAACCGATTAAATCAGGAACAAACAGCAAATGTAGAAAGAGCAACCTACAGAGGCTCTCTCGTTATTTGGGAACGATGAGGATTATTTCAGTTAAATCAATCCTTACTGCAGGACTGGCAATTGGCACTGCTAAAACAAAGTGATGGAGACATGAGAAATAACTGAGAACTACAGGAGAAAACAAGACTTTTTGGAGTGCTGAGGCTCTGCCCGTTCCTCTGAGTGTCCGTACCCAGATTCTCGAGTGCTGCTGTTGGACTGCTCTTGGTTATACTGGTTTTATTATTTCTGTCCTGAGATTTGGCTGCATTAGCAGCCTCCTCGGCCAAGGAGGCCATGAGCGGCCTCACTCTGACACATCCTAACATCTCATCCTTCAAGGCAGAGAGGGAAATGCATCTCCTCCCACTGCTGCCTTTTGCTGTGGGCAGTGATGGTTCACGGAGCCCCTCCACTGACTGCAATGTTCCACTCGAGGTGTGCTGTGCTCCTGAAAACACACGTGTCCAAAGACCGACACCAGTGATGTCTTACTCATTAAAAAATAAGCTACTCATACACGAAGGACACTTCTTTTGAACTTGTGTTCTAACAAACAGAAATTAATAACAGCAAATGAAACGGCGACATCTGCAAATCATTTTCTATTTCTTCTCCAGTGTAAAAAAATGACAAACCAAAGACAAAAGCGTTTAATCTCTGAAACATCTCATCCACCTGCTGAGAAGAGCTAAGGGAAATCCTATATCCAAGGCAACCATAGCCAAGAAACCGTTTTCAGGAGGGGCAGCTTTTCCGGGTTGCCCTACCTCTGCCACACAGAAAGGACTAATCCTAATCCTAATCCTAATCCTAATCTTAATCCTAATCCTGACTAATCCAGGGCAGCTCCAGCAACCTCTCGGTGCCTCCCTCTCCCCTCACAACTGTGCTTCAACAGGAGGGACGGCTACTAAGTCCTCAAACACTTCTGGAAAATCCTGAAAGAGCAAACTGCAAAATTCAGTACAAAAAACCCCAACCAAACGCCACATTCATCGAATATTCTTGGAACAACAAAGTGAAAATGGGTTTATGGAGAAAAAACCAAACAGAACTGTTCACCTTCTTTGCACAGGAAAGTCACCCACTGCTATTTGTTACTGATAACTCCATAATAAATGATTTTAAGTTCTTATTTTATGTTCTATGACTCAGCAGAAGCAAAAGTATTTTACAGAAGGGTTTTAAAACCAAAGTTGCTCAGATGCGGCCGTTTCATGGACCTCTGTCACCACCGCGACAAAGTCATGGCTCTCACTGAACACACCACTACTCCTGCACTGCAAACCTCATCTGTTCTTCAGTCACAGAATCTCTGAGGTCTTTTGCAATGACAATGTAAGCAATGATCACCAAAGATACTGAAAAATCCACTGATCAACTGAAGCTAACACCTCTGAGGGCAACACAGACATTGCTCTCTACAGCAAAGAGCCAATCAATGTAGAATTTCAGTCTTGTAGAAATTATAAAACACCTTGTAGAAATTGTAAAACATGCACAGAGGTTTTTGAATTAAAGAATGTCATTTTGTTCACAATTTCAAAGAAAACTGGTATTTATTTTGTTTTCAGGATCCTTATTTGTGCATCTTTATTTTAAGGCTATCTCCAGGATGACAATCTGGAAAGAAAAGTACCCTTAGCCCCTATAACCTGTCAATTCTTAGAAAATCTGAAATATTTCCACATGCGTGTAATGAATTAAAGTCATTATGTCAGCAAAATGACAGCAGAGAGCTCGTAAGTGATGATGCTGAAGTCCTACGACAGAATTCTGACTCATTTTCAGGCAATCTCGCCATCGCTAACATCTGCTCTGCGGCTCCAGGAGAGCACTCCCAGACCACTGTCCCAGTACAGCCACTCCTCACGCTGGGATCAGTGCAGGAACTGGTGCCGTGTAGTCAAACCAGCGCCAGGGCCTGGCACCTTCTCGGGACAAACAAGAGTTGTTCCAGGTGAGTTCTGGGCTTTATTTGGCATCTTTGTCATCTCAGCCATTACGAACACTACGAAAAATAGATGGGATGTGAAATAAAAGATGTCTCTGTGACACCAAAAGGCACAAGATTCATATTATTTTTACGTAGAGTGTTTTGAAATTAGGATTCGTTTACAGATCCATGCTTTCATATGCTTATCACTACACAGTACCCAGTACTTTAATTGAAAGAGAAATGGATACAGCTGCACGCGTACCGCTCAAAAGGAAATACTGATAAATGTGTAGGTGGCTTCTCTAAGATTTATCTATAAAAACACTGACACAGAAATCCATTTCATTATGCAAAAAGGCTGCAGAGGAGAAAATTAGAGATCAAGAGGTAGTAAAGAAAGAGCATTACTTTAGTTTTGGTTCCCGTCCCTCACTTGTATATTGCCAGCATATGAGTCCAATCAGGTCATGCACCTTGGCGTTCGCTATCGTCACCACGGTCATGGGCTGCAGCTTGTCCTGGCTGGTGTGCAGCGGGAGGTAGACATCGATTTTTTTGGTTGCCGTTGTACCAACATGACCCTGTCAAGAAAACAGATTTCATCAGAACGTATAAAAGAGCATGATGGAGCCAGCACAAAATCTCGGCTGGATGGAATTCTTTTCAGTAGAAAGATTTAAAACTGGAAGAAGTTTGAACTGTTAAATTCCAATTCTTTGACTGCTGTTTAACGTATCTGCAAAAATGGCATGAAACATTTGGCAACGATTTCACAGATTTCCATTAAGAGTCTGAACTCCACCGCGAGATCCCACGTTCTTGCAGGATCTGGAAGAAACCCCTGCCAGTGCCGGGTGCTAATGATCATACCCACTTAAAGACTGTCCCCATACGAGGAGGTTAAGGTGACATTTAAAATAAACCTGAGGCTTGACCTTGGTTTGCCAAGAGAACAAAATCACACAGGCAAGCAAGTCACGGAACCACTTTGAACTAGTTGAAGACAACCAAAGGATTAACTAATGTTGGATCTTATTGGAAATTACTGCAATAAAGAAAAAAAAAACCTATTTGGCACTGCACAGACGAACAATTAAATAAAACATAAAATATGCAGCAACACAAAGATCTATAAAGTTTGCATTACAAGAAAAAAATGTTTCATCTACTGCAGACAGGACTGCATCTTTACATCAGTAATCTGAAAGAGAAAAGAGATTGCACATCCTGATCCCCTGCCCAAAAGCCCCCTGATGTAACCGTGCGTCTCGACCCAGCTCTATATGGGCCTTGAGAGAAGGAAGCATTATTCGACTTAATCACTTGGAATTCTAAGTAATAGAACAAGGGGATTGAATACAATAAATCTATGGTGAGAATATAAAACAGGGAGTTAAACGCCATGTGCTAGTTTCAATATATTTTTAAAAACCACTTGATCCTTCAGTGCGATTATAAATTAGAGAAATAATAGGAATTTAAAGATTAAAGTTATTCATACTAGCATAGCTAAAAGTATTAAAATCCATCCACATATAATGAATTTGTTTGTTAAGAAAGCATTTTTATAGTGCAGATACTGCGTCCCCCCATGCTCTTAAGGTAAGAAGAAATCGGTTTTATTCGTTCAGAAGGAACCGTTAGATTTGTACCAGAGACAGGACATTGCTTCGCTGTGTGTGGACATGCCCTGGGTGAGCTGGGGAGCTGCTGTGACAGCCCCTGCACCCACAGCCTCACCTCCCCACGGCAATCACAACGTAACACAACTGCTAAAAAATACGGGGCTTTGTTTCCTTCCCTTCTCCTCTTGCTTTTCTCCTTACGGGACTTACTTGTGAGGGGAATTATGCTGGTGTGAGGTAACGAAGCCCCAGTCTCAAGGTCTATCCCAGTCTCTGCCCAGGAGCAGAGGCTCACAGGGGATGTATGGATGCACTGCGAGCATCGCTCCTGCTATGGTGGGGACTGGAGATACTGGTCAGAACGGGGGACCTGTTGTTTCAACTGGATTTGCATTTGAATGAGCAAATAGCAGCTATCAAGGAAATTAATGCGACTCCTTGGTATGCCAAGATAGTTACAGATTCAAATCCAAGGATGGCAGAACCATGAGTAATGCTTGGTCCCGATGATGGAAAATGCAAGAAAAATTGACAACCAGATGTGCGAGTCGGTGCCAAGGTTACAACTGATGTACACAGCACAAAGCCAGAGCGCGGACAAACGAGCCAAGAGCTGTAACTAATAACCAAAGAGAGCAGATTACTCCATTAGCCACCACTACAAGCACAGACTGTTTATAAGCTCATAATCCAATAAACACATGTATTTCTAAAATAAACATGTCCTAGGGACCCCGATCTTACAGCTGCCATGAACAAGATGGGAACTTGCCTTGTACGACCTTTCCCAGCCCCACTGCTCAGGGTTTGTCCCTCGCTAAACACACTTTTCTTTGTTCTTCCCCATCTCTAAACCTCTTCCACCTGCTCCAGGCTGTTTTAATCTCTTGCTAGTGCAAACACCCCCGTTACCGATGTCCTCGTTTCCTTACACACTCTCAGCACGAACACCAAGACGAGTTGGGGCTTACACCAGGGCAAACTCGTATGCGTGCTGGGATCCCAACTGCTTGCTGAACACCGGGAGCAACGCCACCAGCAGCAGCGCTGGGAAATGGCTCATGAGCAGCACTGCTGCACTCAGCATCTTTAAAAATGTGAACTACTTTTATTAACCAGAAGTCCTGGGAAAATGATTGCCATAAGATATCCGAGAGGCTGCAGCCTGCGATTTGGAAGCTGATTAGACTTTCTATTAGTGGTGGGAGCGCTCATTCTCACCCCAGGTAGGAACCTCTGGCACGGCCTAAGGACACGTGGGCACGGCTCAGGCTGATCCCTGAGCCCAGGGGAGGAAATCTCCGCTGTGCTCACGGCAAATCGGCGGCGTTTGTTCTGAACCAGCCTTGGAAATCCAAGCCATCAGAAGCCCATCTGTAGCACAGACTGAATCCACACTCGTGCTCCGATTCTCAACCCACTAATTGTGTGGCGGTCCCACAGAGCTCAATTACTCACCTGTGCAAAGCTCGTTAGGTCGGGATCTGGGGGTGCTGGGACTGAGTAGAAGGGATCCAATTATTGGCTGCAGTTGCCAAGAGCCAAAGCCCCAGCCACACTGCAGTTAACTCCCACTAACGCGTGGTTTACACAGTGCTGGGATCCCTTCTTCAGGGGGAATCGTCCAGAACCACGTTGCAGAAAGCACTGCAGGCAGAACTGCTTCTTTCTCCCAGCTAAAACTTGTATTCAAACTGTAAATGTGGAGGAGACCCAGAAGATAAAGTACAATTACCTATATTCAAAAAGGCAGCATCAAACTTTATTAATAGATCCTGTATAAAATTCAATGGAAAATCTATTCAGGGCCAGGGGCCTTACCATTTGGAGTTTCCTTAATAGCCTCCAATAAATCTGGGAAGCATAAAGGGGCTGTTAAATTAACATTTTCCTGATCTGTCACCTGTGGCATAGTTAATTCGTCAAAAAATTCTTTTAGCTTGTCACTGGACACTGTATATTCTGACAAATGAAGTCTGGAATAAAATTGACAAAATATCTCGTTAATTTTCTAGGAAATCACAAATCTGATTCCATTAAACTTTTATTGTTAGAAACGTTACATTCCACCAATCCTGTGTGGAAGTGAGGAGTAACGGGATACACAGAAAACACACAATAAGTAAAAAACTCTTGGCATTTTTAGTATTGGATCCTATTAAGGCGACCGAGTGCTCTCCTGCAGCCTGGTCTGATGAAAATTTCCGTTTGCGGTTTCTGTAGCACATTCACCTCGCTCCAAGCAAGGATGTCTCATCACCTGCAACGCACGGGAGGAGACACAGCGCTGTGCAGCGTAACAGGCAGCAGGAGGCAAAACCCAGGGATACCATTTCCCAAATCACTGCTAACGTGGTGCACACAAACACCCGCTGTACTGCTGTTTTCTGCGTCTGTGCATTCACAGCTCTCGGTGGCTGCACCCGGAGCTCCCTGGCCCATCACATCACATCACACCACAGCTCTGCTCTGCTGCTCAACAGCGGCACAGAACCACGTCCCTTATCTGACACTGCTGAACAGAACAGGCTGCTGAGCTCACACACCTTCTCCTTCCTGTTTTTGTCATTTAAATTAAGCGATGTATATTTATGTAACTAACAGCAGCCAAGATCAGGAAAGTTATTCTCATTGAGAAACAAATTTCTCCTGAAGGAACAACTTGGTACTAAGACCCCTGCTCCTGCGAGCCCGTGCTTCTCGTGCTGTCCAAAACAAAGATGGCCAAAAACAGTACAGTGGTATCTGGGGATATGAAATTAGCAGTTGGGCTAATTACGAGAACATAAGTGGCACCACCAGCACGTACATATGTTCCTGGTACTTCTAGACACGAAAGTGTGAGTGAAGGATATGACAGGCAACTCAAATGATGAATTCTCATGGATTTTCTAGGATCGTATTTGCAAGCTGTGGTGTTTAATTATATAAATAGTGGTTACCACAACTATGGCAGGAAAACCGCACGTAGAGTGACCTTCGCTGGCTACACACAATTTTAGAAGTGTGCGTATCATTAAATAATAGTCTGTAATAAAGTTAATGTGTTTTAAATGTAAACACAAATTAAAAAAGAAAAAGCACGTATTTAAACTCTACCAATCCTTTCAAAAGAAGAAGCCTTTCTAAGATTGAAAATCAACCTTTACTCAAAGTCCCCGAGAAAACGTGTGCCCCCTCCACCACCAGATGCTGTCACTGTGGGACAGGTTGCTGTGGTCACCCATATTCCTGCCAATGATGTGGCACTGGGCACCGCTCGTCTGTGCGGGTCCAGCGCTCTCCGACCACAGCTCGGCAGCGTCCAGGAACGTCCACGAGAAACACGAGTGCACCGCATCCCTCCCACGGCTGATTCGTGTCACTGCACACCGCAGTGGAAAATTAAAACAAAGTCCATAAACATTTCTTAGAGGAAAGTGATTAATTTTCAACAACAATAATTTACTGCATCTTCCTGTACAATAGAGTTCTGTGACTAAATGTTATATCACTTTAAGATTAGATGTTCTAATGATATAATGCAAAGATTTTACTGAATCATTATTTAGTGGGAGTCATAAAAACCTCTTAAAATTAATCTTTCATGCACATCTAGCTTATCCAAAGTTAGCATTTAATTAGATAGCCTTGGCACGAATGAGCTTACTACTTTATTTGCTCAATCAGTATACGTCTCGTCAGTAATTATAATTAATTCAAGTCATTGACTCACCTCCCAGCAAACAATGCTAAACATTACACAAAATGGAAACAAATGCTCATCCTCTTCCAAATGTAAAATTTCTTCTCACTTTAAGCTCAGTGAAACGGTTTTTGGTTGAGGTGACAGGGTATTTAACGCACCAGGAGATCCAGCAATCCCCTCCTAAGCATAACTTACTCACGTATGTACTTAAACAACATAAAGCAAATACATTAAGGGGAAAAAATGAAAATATATTAACTCA